TCGAACCGTTCGTGACGTGCCGTCACCGCCACTCGACGAAGAAATTCTAGACCATCTACAACGCGGCGACCTGCCGCCACCCGATTACGGGTACACGATGGTTAGGGATAGGAAACGTGCGTCCACATCCGGTAGAGGCCGCCCCCGACGCGTGCATACGCGCACGATTATCGAGCTACATCTAGAAGTGCTGAACGAATGTGAAGCAACCGAGTGGGAAAACGTCAAAGAGGACTATTTGCAGATTGTCGTGCAGGAGTTTGCGCAGGAGTTGATGCGGCACGAGGACACGAATAACAATATCTTGGGTGTTTCTACCTCAGACCAGGGTTTATCAGGGAACCATGTTTCCTTCACCGTGGATCCATCCACTGACGCCGACGGAACGGATGCATGTCCACCACATGACCCCGATCCATGCAGTTGTATGGACACTATACAGTTACCAACGGACCCTTGCCCACCCAATGCACACGACCCCGATCCATGGAGTTGCATGGAAAACATACAGTTCGCAACGGACCCTTGTCCACCTAACGAAGGTAACCCCGATCCATGGAATTGTATGGACACCATGGCGTTAGCAACGGACCGTTTTCCACCTAACGAAGATAACCCATGGAGTTCTATGGAAACTATACAATTACAAACGGACCCTTCTGCTTCTAACGACGATAACCCCGATCCATGCAAGTGTATGGAAACCATACAGTTAGCAACGGACCCTTCTGCTTCTACCGAAGAGGACCGATGGCATTGTATGGAAACCATACAGTTAGAAACGGATCAATGTCCACCTAACGAAGATAAGCCCGATCCAGCCACACACACACCCACCTGTGCTGATCCTACGCCCGACATCACACAAAAACCTGGCCAAGCTGACCCAGTCCTGCACATACCCACATGTGAAACCGTCACGCATACCACCACGCGTGAGGACGCTAGGGCCAAAATCACAGACATACCCACATGTAAAGCAGTCACAGACAGACACACATGTGAGGATCCTAAGCCCGAAATCACACAACCACCAGGCTCCGGTAACGCAGTCACAGACACACCCACATGTGATCATCCTCAGCCCGACATCACAGACATAACCACATCCCACACTACCACGTGGCTGCGTTGGATTGATCGCAACAAGCACCTATTCCAGGCGTGCACGGGGCAAACATGGTTCAATGAAATCAAATCGGATTGGAAACAATACTTGCGCGAGCATGTGCCAGACGCAGCATCCGGTGAGCACAGGACAGCCGCAAGCATGGACAGCAAGAAGCACGCATGGAAACAATGGGTTGCAAAACAACATGACCTTATGAATACATATAGTGAGGAGCAGTGGTTTCAACATTTGTTAGAAAATATCGAGGAGCAGACAGAATCGCACAACGGCCAAGCACCTATAGTGGAAAACGACTTAGAAGTGGAAAAAGTAATGGCCGCAGAAGATATCCTAAAAGTGAGAGATGTACCACGGTCGCAACTGCATCGGCAAAGTTACATGAAAAAACCGTTAACCGCCCTCAAATTGTGGATGCTACTCTTCGCATCCGTAATCGAAGAATGCGAGCTCGAGAGTAGTATGCAGCAGACGGAGTTATATGTGGATGCCCTATTGCAAAAGCTCTGAAATTAGGATGAAGGCAGGGGTATGCACGATAGGGAGTATTATGTGGATGATCTATTGGACACGATCTGACATTAGGATGACGGCGCTCATGCATGGGACATAACGCATGCTAACATTAGACCACTTTTACTTCATTATGTGATATACATAATATATTTCTTGTTTGCATTATTCCATACCTGCCTTTTTTTTTTTTCTGCTCTCTTCTGCTTACTTCTGCTTACTTGTGCTTACTTTTGCCCTGTTTTGTTCTTTTTCTGTGTAGTCCACTTCTTTTAACATGACCATGGGGACACGGTGCTACAGGTCCAATGCATATAAAATGTAGATTTAAATGAATAATATGAACGGGTCGTATTCTCCTTTATGTGCAGTTAATTATTAAAAGCTGAGCAACTGCATTCTACGGGCATAGTGCAGCACAAATATAGAATGCGAATACGCATTCGAGTATAAGGAGAGATTGTCTCTCCGCACAAACGTGGCCGCGTAAACCGCATTGCAGCCGCGTGTAAGAAGGAGGACATATTGTCTCGCTGAGCAAACGCGGTTCGACTACGTAGCCGCGTGCACCACGCAGGACCATTGTCTCCGCGCAAACGCGGCCAAGTGCCAGACCGATTCGACGACGTAGCCGAGTGTAAGAAAGGCAGGCGAGATTGTCTCTCCGCGCACCCGCGTCGACCAAAGCGGCCGGGTAAAGGACATTGTCGACCACGAACGCGGCCAAGTGTAAGCAGGATTCGACGAAGGATTGTCCGAGTGTAAGAAGGAGGGAGACATTGTCTCTCCGAGCAAGCGCGACGACCAACGCGGCCAAGTGCAAGAAGGGGTTCTGCGCAGTAGCCGCGTAAGAAGGACGCGGCAACGACGGAAGAAAAAATTGATGTTGTTGTTGTTACTGCGGTTTATTGTAGACCCGTGATGACAGGCGTATTCATGACGCGTTGTGTGTGTACGGTCGTGTAGTACTACTTTTTTTTTTGTCCTTTCTTCGTTTTTTTTTTTTCTTTTTCTTGTTTTTTTTTTTTTGGTTCCTCTATATTTATTCCCCTGTCAGTCTCAATATATGCTTTCTGAGGATTATAATAATAGTAGACGAATGGGATTGCACACAGGGCAGATACGGCTTTTGTTCTCTATAGAGTTACAATGTTATGTGTTCAGGCCAGCAATTACTCATCAGTAATAAAGGAAGAACATAACAAGGGATACAGGGACCATTTGAAGGTTACTATAGTTCACGTGGGACATTGGGACAATACTCAGGTGTGTAATATTTGAGCTTATCGAGCACGGAGCAGTATGTCGGCTAAGGAATTAGGGGATATATTGGCACAATACGCAAAGGCTAGGGGCCTACTGGGAAATGATGACGGATATCAGGTAATTCATTATGAAAGAGACAGTACAGAGTGTATAGGAGTATACGCGCTCATATATGTTGGTGTCACGTGTAAATGAGTGTAGAGCTTTATTACTGCATATATCATGGTAACATTGAATGCGCAAATTTAGGACAGAGTAATAGGCACGCGCGAAGTCGTGCTATGTGACTGTTTGCGTGCAATGACCGAATGAATACGCATGAACGCAGCTACAGAGTACGTGTGCATATTATACATTTCAGGAAAGTCTACAGAAGGACATAGGAGCCAGGCTCGGGGAGTTTGTTGCACATATGGACAGGATGGAGGCACTTATGGACGCCTTGGGTTCAAACTGTGATAATGCAGGTTGGCAACATTGGCTCACTCATGCAAAGCATGCGCACGTGGGTCACAATGAAGGTGATAGGATTGCGTGCAGATTAATGACACTTGCTTCATATTTCCTGGAAGGATGGAGTCACACTGCACGACTCGATGATGACGACAATACGAATAATATGAAGTTAAAAGGTTACATGAGATGTGCAGTAGTGCATATGTTCAGCGAAATATTAAACGAATCCGAGTGTAGAAGTAAATGGGGCACATTTTATGGCTGGTACTCGGTGCAGGGAATGATGACGGAGGGAGGAATAACTAAGTCAGCCGGTATGCCACAATGCGAGATGTACCGACTGCTGGATATAACGCGCGGCAATTGGAGTATGAGTCAGGAAATTAAAGAACGGTTAAGGAACAATGACGGACTACAAAGTATGCTAGAAAGGCACCAAGAGAAGAGCACGTGTCACAACACAATAAGGAAGGAGAAGAAGAAGAAGAGTACACCGCTGGATGCGAACAGGCAGACTGACAAGGCAAGCGGGAACATAGAGGTGCAGGAGACATTGAAGAGAGAATTGAAACGCGTTCTAAAGAAGGTTGAAAGGGAAATATCCGTGAAAGGAGCAAACGATCCGGATGAGAAGGATTCCGATGGAGAGGAAACCCTGAGTGAAGATGACGAAGCGGATGAGCCGAACAAGGAAATTGCGGGCGGTAAGTACACGAATAGCAACAATACGAATACGAATACCCAAACACCCGGTACCAATAGTGACGGCGGCCGCCACAACAACACGCGGCGGGCACACAACGCGCACGTGGCGGAACAACGCAACGGCACCACAACAACGCAGACGGGGCGCCACGGCAACAACACGAACGGGAAACAACGCACACACGGCGGCACAGCCACCAGCGGTGTGCAATAGCACGGCACACGACTTCGTTCACGTTGAGCGGCGCGGCCACGACGGCATCGGCAGCGGCAGCGGTAGCGGCGACGACGGACGCCGCGGAGACGAGATGACGCCGACAACAAATACGTGCACTGCTATCATCCATCCCGACCCAGTCGACCGAGTTCACCTCACCGTGCGCTTGCTGCCTCCTCACCCAGTTCACGCAGTGCGGAGTCCACCGAGTCCATCTCGATCCATGCAGCCGACCCTACCGCGCCGCTACCTGACCGCAGCATGCCGCCCCTTCTGTCTACCACTTGTGTGCTGTTTTTTTTTATCATGTGTCTACCATCTTTCTCCTTTTTGCAGGCGCTGGAGGACCGGCGGCCCGCAAGCCCGCGGTCACGAAACCACAAGCACCGGCATCTCCAGTATTACCAGCAAGACCACCACCTCCGCCACCAGGACCACCACCGTCACCTCCTACACCCACAAAAGAGGGAACGGACGCGCATTCACCACCGTCAAAAGCAGATTCATCTGCGGAAGGAACCTCACAGGGCAAAGGTAAGACATTAAGGGACTCCAAGAAAAAGCCTGAGGAGAACAAAGAGAAATGCAGTGAGGATGAGACTGACCATGACAAGGTTTTTGATTGTCTTCAGAAGCAGGAGGACCTTGCAAACGCAGGGACAGGAGTGAACCAACCGGACGGCTCCGAAAAATACGACGGAAAGGGTCCTGTGGGTGTCCACGGAGCTTCCCGTTCCATAGAAGTATCGGCGGGGACCTCCTTTACTGCTCCCGTAGTACCCCCAGGTACGAATAATGCACAGTCCGGAAAGGAAGAAACAACAAAAAATAAAATAAAATAAAAAACAACCAACACACAACTTTTCCGGAGCCAGAAACCAAACGTCGAATGAGAATGATGGGCAGCGTCAGCGGCAGAGCGACAGCGATGGGTCGGCCGCGGGATGTAGACGTCGACGTCGACACAGACAGACACACACACACACACTGTGTGTGTTGTGTGGGACAGAGAGACTCTTTTCCCGGAGTGGCACCTGCCACGCCGTCCCAATACACGGGTCAACCTTAAACGACGGACCGTGTGGTCAACCATGGGACCAATCACCGCACAAAACATGAGTGTCATCCTGTTCCCATTTGTTCGTCCAACCATTCAGGTGAAGCAACAACAGTGGATTCAACAACAGACGCCACTCAACCTGACAAGTCTAATCAGGCCGGGTATAATCCTAAGGATGTGAATCCTGTGGCAAGTACTAATGAGGATGAAGCGAAAGAAAAACCAAATCAGGAGAATGAACAGAAGGAAGGAGCAAAGGCTGCGGACACTGCGGGCAAGGATGTTTCCTCCGTGAAGCAACCCAACACCGAAAAGAGTAGCCCTTGCTCAGGTATATCGGACGATGAATATGATACAGGAAGATGCGGTTTCACCTTATTTGACAAAAGCAGTCCCCAATGCCCTAATGGGCCGGATTCCACCTCGCCTGGTAACTCTGCGGGTGGTGTTGGCTCCACGCAGATCCAGAATCCTGGTTCTTCGGGACCAGGTTCCACGGCAGTATCGGGTGATGGAAGCAGTCACACAGGAACACGTGGAGGACAGCAAGGTGACTCGGCCTCCAGTTCATCCAACTTTGGACTACCTAATTTTGACTTAGCTAACATGATTCCCAAGGGACCCAATGTTCCTGGGGGTGGATTCGTACCCCTTAAGCGGGAACATGTCACACTGAATGAAGACAATGAAAAATTAATGAAACAAGGACCTCCGAGTCATGGCGGTCCTGATGGACCCGACCTAACCGCCGACGTCCTTACCGCCA